GGTTAATTATAATATTCTTAAACTCTGCATAAAAAAGGGTGGTGTGCATCTTGTTGATTAAATATTGACAATAAACCGATAAGAAATATGATTCTGAATTAGTTTGATTATTTAATTATTCGTTTTTAGAGTTATGATCTAATAATTCTACCTTGAGTTAATAGTCTTGCTCGATGGATTTGTACGTCATTCCTATGTCTAATAAGTTGTGCCCGGATACATTTAGTTTCAGTGCTCAATTATTTTAAAAAATATTTTATGGAATTCATTGTTAGGAGAGATCAAAAGAAAAATTATTGTTAGAAATTACTTAGCTTGTGGAACGTACTTGTGAACAACAGACCTGGAGATCAACAATATTGAACTACTGGTTGAAGGACATTGTTGGCATCCAATGATTCCCACCATTCTTTATCTCCTCCTGCTCCTATCTTGATTGTTCTAAGACGTGGGGGAGGAGATCGTTGTCCATGGAGAAACGGTAAATATAAAGGCAATTTCTTTATATTTTTAGTTCCCCTCAAATGAATTTCTTCAATGGAATCGCAAATCATCTTTCCTTTGCAGATGCTCTTTACTTGTGGCAGATGCCTCAGAGTCAATTTCTTTAACATTGGCAATGTGATATCAGCTCCTTCATTATTGTCATCTTCTATTATCTCCTCCATTTGTAGACAGTCTTCGAGAAACAATAATTCGAGGTTACGGAAATTATGTACCAAACTCTGAGGGAAAAGCTTCTTGATTTTACCACAACGATAAATACTCAACTCTGAGAGACAGGAAAATGTGCCGGGTGGAAGAGGTACAACTGCTTCCCACTTGAAGAGACCAATTAAATTTGGCAAGCCACTCAGCGTCAAACTTTCAAGGCTTTGGAATGGGACCCAACTAAATTCTTCCTCTAACCTCATAATGCACTCTATTTTATCCTCCTCAAATATTTTGCATTCTCTAACAGAATTCGGAATTGGACATTCTTCTAATAAGCAACCCCTCAAGCCACTGCGTACAAAGAATAAATTCTCAATATCTTGTGGCAGCATCTTCCCATCCGTGTCTAAAGAGGATTCCACGAGACTCCCTTCTCCAAAAGTTAAATATTTACATTGTAAATTGAACTGTAATGGTGGGTAGATTTCTCGAGAACTTAATGTAATATTGTAGGAAAGGAATTGCTTGTCACTTTGTCGTGAGTTGATTAACCGATTGAGATCACGTACGCTATTTAACCTGCAATGAAGTACTTCCAACTGTTTCAATGCCTTAACTTCTTCTATTGGTACTTCAAAATCATATGGCAACTTGAGCTGCTGAAGATGTGTGAGTGTATACAAAGTCCCCGTCGGTATCATCTTTAATCTGCCACTCGACAAAGATAGGCTTTTGAGGTTGGTTAAGCTTTCCATACCTCGGGGAATTTCTTCAAGATAAGTATGTGTGAGGTCCAAATGTCTCAATACCTTGAGCTTTTCCAATGATGGCACTGA